CTGCGAATCCTCCTATGGGGCCCCCTGAGGGGCCCCCTATAAGGCTTCCTGAGGGGCCCCTGGAGGGGCCCCCCGAAGGGCCCCCTGCGATTCCTCCTAGAGGGGGGCCCCCTGAGGGGTCCCTTGAGGGGCTCCCTTGGGGGCCCCCCATGATTGTGGATGTAAGGAGTTGTTGTTTGTGTTTGCAGAGGGTTTGAATGAAGCGGTTTGTTGAGAAGTGTTGCTGCTGCATGCAGCGGGAGTGCAGCATGTGCTGCTCCTCCTGAGAAGAAACAAAATAAAAGCAGCAAACAATACAAGCATCAGGGGCGCCTCTATTAGGGTCCTCTACTTAGGGGGCATCTCCTTAAGGGGGGCCCCTTTTAAGGGGGGCCCCTTTTAAGGGGGCCCCCCACCCTAAAGGGGGGCCCCTTCTAAGGGGGCCCCCTCTTAGGGGGCCCCCCGTCTTAAGGGGGCCCCTGCTTCAGGGGGCCCCATCTTAGGGGGCCCCCTTCTTAGGGGGCCCCCTGCTTTGTTTTAGGGTACTGAATAAGGGGTGTTTAGGTAGAGGGGGGCCCCTGTATTTTTTAGATTATGTTGGGTGTCTGTACAGCTTACAGATAGCATTGAGCAGATAATAAGACGGCGAAGAGAAGGGGTAAAATAAATAAAAGAACAAAGAAGGGGTAGAGCCTCATCAAGAAAAACAGAAACAAAAACAACAGCACTTAAAACTCCAGGAAACACACCCTCCTGCTGCTGCTGCTGCTGCTGCTGCAGCTGCTGCTGTTGTTGTTTCTGCTGCTGCTGAGGGGGGTACTGAGAGCGCCGTAGCTGCTGCTTCCTCTGCCTCTTCTCCATTTCTTTAAAGTCTTCTAATGCACACAGATAGGGGTGGGGGGCCCCCTTTAAGGGGGCCCCCTTAGGGCCCCTTTGGGGGCCCCCCTCCCTAAGAGATTCCTGCTGCTGCATCGCTCTCCACTGAGCAGACACGGGGCCCCAGCTGCCAGCATCTGCTGCAACAAGATCAACAGAATTCAACAGCAGCAGCGCTTTACGTACATCTGCTGAAGCAGCAAGGGCCTCTAGGGGCCCCCGGGAGGGGCCCCCCCATCGTTGGGGGCCCCCCTGGGCCCCTTTGAGGCCCTTGGAGTCGCTAGTCATTTCTATGGAAGGAGTGTAAGAAGCATATACAAGGCAAGCTGCTGCTGCTGCTGCTGCTGCTGTTGCTGTTGCTGCTGCTGATTGATGTTTGCTTCTGTTGCTGCTATTTCGTACTGGTACTTGAGTCAATAATGCGGCAGCAACTGCTGCTGCTGGTGGTGCTGCTGTTTGAGCTTGGCTTAAGCTGCTGTTGCTGCTGCTGCTCCCTCACTTTGCTGCTGTCGGCCGGCGCAGCAGCAGCAGCAGCAGCAGCTGCAGCTACCGCAGCAGCAGCAGGAGTATAGGGCCTTCTGTTGACTGAAGCTGTTGAAAACTCAAACTGATAATAAGCATCAATACACATAGAGAGAAAAGCAACAAAATGCTGCAGACAAGGGAGGGGCCCCTTCTCCCTGCTGCAGCAGCGCCGACTGCAGCGGCAGCAGGGGGCCCCCCTGCTGCTGGGGGCCCCCCTACCCTACAAGCGAATATTGAGTATCTGGTGTAAATAATAGTACTAGTATTATTATTTTTATTGTTATTTTTATATCATATTTTATATTATTATCCTATACTATTCTCCAGAAGACAGCAGGGATCTCTGACTTTGTTGCTCTTGCTGCTGCTGCTGCGGCGCTGCATATGTGGTGCTGCAGTTATTCCGTTTTGCTGCTCCTCTCTTCCCTGCTTTATATCCTCAATCCTTTATCTGCAGCAGCAGCACAAATACGTGTTGCTGCTGCAGCGAGGCCCCTGCGAATTACCCAGCAGCAGCAGCTGCTGCTGCACCAACAGCAGCAGCTGCAGCATCGGAAGCTACTGCTGCAGCAGCCGCAGCAGCTAATCCCTGCTTCAGTATTAAGTATTAATGGTTGGGGGCCCCTCAACTCATTGAAGGGCCCCTATAGAAGAAAACATAAGACGCCAACAAGGGGGGGGCCCCCTAGGGGCCCCCCGTTGCCTTTATATGCGTGGCTTCAAGCCTGTAGATGTTCAGGTTTATCTTTAGCTTCATTTCTTGTTTTGCTGCTTGCAGCAACTCTTTTAAAACTTATTAATAAGAAGAAGCTACTAGACAGCAGCAGCAACAGCAGCAGCAGCAGCAGTGACAGTGACAGGGCATCGGCGATGGAGGAAGCGGAAGCAAGTGCTGCTGCAGAGGCATTTGTGCTGCACCATTTGCTGCAGCGTGCTGAGGGGCCCCTAGCGAGGGCCCCTCTTCCTGATGGGGCCCCCATTCGTTTTTCGTGGGGCCCCTTTCCTCTCTTTCTTCGCGCAAGACAGGTAGACATGCAGCAGCAACTAATTAAATAAAGAAGCAGCAAGTAATAAAATAAAGAAGAGCGCTTTATTTGTTTTGTTTTTATTGCTGCCTAAT